GCAGGGACTGGCAAGGGCCTGGATGGACCTGCGGTCAAGGCGATGATGACACCGGGCACGCCCACCCAGCTTGCAGGCTGAGCGCTGGGAACCAGCTCCACCCTGCCAGCCCCTCGACGGCGCCTGCCACACGTGGGAGCAGCAGCGGCCGCAAGCCCAGCCAGCCAGACCTCGGCCTGCCCGGCAAATCCTCCCCGAGAACTGGGCTGCGTGCTGGGCCTGGCAGGAACAACGTGAACAGAACATTCTGTTGACAAACACGAGTCCCGTCCCCTGCTTGCATTTATTATTATTTTGAAGATTTATTTTTTGGGCCTGGCGTGATAGCATAGCAGCTAAAGTCGTCACCTTGAATGTGCCGGAATCCCATATGGGCACCTGTTCTAATCCCAGCTGCCCCACTTCCCATCCAGCTCCCTGCCTGTGGCCTGGGAAAGCAGTGGAGGACGGCCCAAAGCCTTGGGACCCTGCACCCGCGGGGGAGACCCAGAGGAGGCTCCTGGCTTCAGATCGGCTCAGCTCCAGCCATTGCGGCCGCTTGGGAAGTGAATCAGAGGCCTGCGAGTCGTGGCATCTACACGACCTCGGGGGCCTGGGTTCAATACCCAGTGTTGGCTTTTGCATCCCTGCTCAGGCACGCCCTGGGAGGCAGCAGGGGACAAGCCCCCGGGAGACCCGGAGGGACGCCTGGCTGCTGACCCCCGTCTGACCCAGCCCTGGCTTGTCGCATTTGGGGTGAAGCAGCACGTGGGGACTCTGTCACCCACCTCTGTCACTCTCCCTTTCAGAGATCAAAAGAAAACTCAGGTAGTGACTCAGTACCCTGATGAATGTGCACAGTGTAGACAGCGCACAGTGTAGACGGGAGCCCCTCAGTTCCCTGGTGCGGAGGGTGTGCAGTGTAGACAGGACCTGGAGTCCCTCGGCACCCTGGTGTGGAGGGTGTGCTCAGTGTAGACAGGACCCTGTCCGCCTGCCTTACGCCCCGTGCCTGAGGCCCCTCCTGCATGACCTGCCCCACGCTTCACCCCGGCCCTCCACCTTGACCCTGCATTGGCCTTCTGGGACTGTCCCTGTGAGTGAGGGCAGCCGCAGGGCTGGCACAGTCTTGGGGGGTTCTAGAAGTTGCTAACCCAGTAGTCAGAACTGGCGACCCCATCGCGCACCTTCCCGGCCACCTGCCCATCCCATCCCAGGTGTCAGGGCTGAATTTTTCCCGTTCCAGCCATTTTCCGTTGAACCCCAAACCTCAGCACACCCTCAGCCATGACTTCCGCAGCGCGGCCCCAAGCCGACGTGGGCCACCTTGCCGCCAGCTCGGCTCTGAGTCATTCTGAGGTTTCTTAGGGAAGGTCTTTGTCATCTCAGGAGCTAGGGACCGTTCCAACCAGCACAGCCACTCGCAGGGGCTCACATTGCCACAGGGCCGGGCACTGGGAGCTCCCGGGTGCCCTGGGATCTGGCGGCCCTGGGGCAGGGACAAGGCCGGGCACTGGGTGCTCCCAGGTGCCCTGGGATCCAGCACCCAGTTTCCCACGCGGTTCAGGGTCCCAAGGCTTTGGGACGTCCTCCACTGCTTTCCCAGGTCACAAGGAATTGGAGTAGCCGGGACTCGAACTGGCGCTCATATGGAATGTTGGTACTTGCAGATAGAGGCTTAGCCTGTTGAGCCACTGAATAGGCCCCTTTCCCACTCAGCCTTCAAAAGGGATGAAAGCCCCACTTGTCCTACGATGGGAGTGACCCTGGGGCCACTGTGCTCTGGGAAACAGCCAACAGCAGGTTTTCCAAAAGTGTGCAGTCCCACATGGGCACGGGGGCCGGGGGAGTGACTCCTGGGGCAGAGTTTGTACTGTATTAGGACCACAAGAACCCTGCACATGGTTGGCCATCACACACCTCCTCTCGCCACTACTACACACTGAGCAGTTGTTACCAGCGGGACCAGGGATCCCACAGGGCTCTGGTTCGAGTCCTGGCTGCTGCACTTCCCATCCAGCTCCCCACTGATGTGTCTGGAGGCCGCAGGTGACAGCCCGAGCTCTCGGGCCCCTGCACCGCGTGGGCGACCCAGATGCAGCTCCAGGTTCCTGGCTTGGACCTGGCCCAGGCCCGGCAGCTGTGGACAGCTGGGCTTGCGTACCAGCGGACGCAAGTTTCCATCTCTGCTGCTTTGTCTTATCAACCAATCAATCTTTTGAAATAATAGTCAGGCAGGTGCTGGGGCCTGGGTTTCAGTCCCATGTTCCTTTCGGCTCTTGCACCCTGCTGGGAGGCACAGGTGACGGCCCGAGTGGCTGGTCCCTGCACCCACACGCCACGGCGGGCATTTAGAAAGTGAACCAAGAGTGTCATTCTCTCTCCCCTGCCCTCCTGAATTCTCACATGTTTCAGAAAGATGCATTTATTTACTCAAAAGACAGTGACAGAGCGGGGGATTTTCATCCTCTGGTTCACTCCCCGAGTGGCTGCAGCAGCCAGAGCTGAGCCAATCTGCAGTCAGGAGCCAGGAGCCTCTTCCTCCAGGTCTCCCCCGCGGGTGCAGGGTCCCAAGGCTGTGGGCCGTCCTCCACTGCTTTCCCAGGCCACAGGCAGGGAGCTGGATGGGAAGTGGGGCAGCCGGGACGTGAACCAGCGAACGCACGGCATGCCGGTGTTTGCAGGTGGAGGATTGGCCAGTGAGCCACGGCCCGGGCCGGCAGTTTCTACACTGCACACCCGATGGGTACCCTGCTTTACTGTTACCCTGACAGATACGCTGATGAAACTGTCGAGTCTGTCCCCTTGGGATTCGAATCCTGCCAAACATCCCAAGGGAGCCCAGGTAGGCGCCATGAGCACGCACAGGTTCCTGTTCTTGTCTGATTTGCTGAACAATGTGGTGTGGCACCTGTTCACGCAGCTTTTATCTCAGAGCACGCGGTGTCTGTCACCTAGATGGATTTCACGTCTACAGGAGTGCTGTCGTGGCATAGTTGGTTAAGCCGCCACCTGCTACGCTGGCATCCCATGTGGGTGCCAGTTTGAGTCCTGGCTGCTCCGTTTCACATCCGGCTCTCTGCTAACACATCTGGGAGATGGGTGGAGGCTAGTCCACGTGCGTGTGTCCCGGACTGGATGGAGCGCTCGGCTCCTGGCTCAAGGCTGTGGACCCAGCGCTCCTCCGACAGCGCAGCACCCTCCCACACAATGTTGGCATCAGACGTCACGTTGCCAACTGCGTCTTTTAACTATGAGACAGCCAAGTGTGGGAGACTTACCAGCCCATGCTTGCTAGTCCTCAGGGACAGGGAGTTCTAGAAAGATCTTCATACTGTTTGGATCAGAGTTAACCCAACAACGACCATTAAAGACTCGGGGCCAGTGCTGTGGCATTGCCAGCTAAGCCTCTCCCTGCGATGCTGGGATCCCGCACAGGCGTGGGTTTGAATCCCAGCTGCTCCACACTTCCTATCCAGCTCTCTCAGCGTGTAGCCCGGGAAAACTAGCCGAGGACGGCCCAAGTCTGTGGGCCCCTGCGTCCACGTGTGGGCCCCTGAGCCGCTTCCCAGCTCCCGGCTTTGGATCAGCTCAGCTCTGCTGTTGTGGCCATCTGAGGGGTGAGCCAGCAGACACGCCCCCTCAACCGTGCCTTTCAAATAAACAAACTTTTTTTTTTTAAATACAAAGGACAGGTCATGTAAGCACAGCCATGATACGCCACTGCATGTCCATTTCCGTTCCTATTTTTCCAGCCACAGCCCAGCAGTCTACGCAGCTCCTAGGAACTTCGGGGAAAATTGAAAGAACTGTGTGTTTCCAAATCAGAGATCTGATAAGGGGCTCCAATGACTGACGCCATTATTTCTAAAAGAAACACTTCCTGAACAGGTTTAAAAATAGCTGCGCGCAAGGCACGGTGTCCCAGGATAGAACGGCCCCTCGCACTCTGACTCGGCTGAAGAACGGACTTGGCTTCCTCGGAACACCGGTCACCCCGAGCCAACACAAGGCGGGCACCCCACTCCCCCGGCACCCCGGACTCACAGCCTGGCTGCGTTCCATGCTGGCCCGAGGAAGGGTGCAGGGAGGCCCCCGTGCCTCGTCCATCCCAGCATGGAGGGTCACTGCCGCTCAAGATGTCGCAGGTGGAGCCTGGAAGCGACTCTGTCCATCTCTGTCTCCCTCTGTCTTTCCAACAAGCAGAGTGGATTTTTTTTTTTAAAGCAAGCTTGCCAACTCTTCCAGCTGGCCAGGTTCCTGGAGGGAACCCGCCCCCGGCATCCCCACAGACTTGCAGGGTGCTGTGGGATGAGGGGACTCAGGGGGAGAGCCACGTGTGACCATGAACTTGGCATTCTGCCTGCTCCTGGTCCACCCAGGCCCTGATGGCCAGCGGCCTGGGTGTCTGCACCAGGGCCTGCCACCTGATGGCCCATGTGGAATTTTCCGTGGGCAGCCCCGGGGGAGCGGGGCTGTCAGGCCATGGGGTTCCGGGTGGACTAGGCCGCCCAGCAGGTCTGCACGGAGGGGCGCCGAGAGGGCAGTTTGGAAAATTCCCAGCGCCTAGAGTCAAAAACACAAGAAGTCAGGTGTGTTGGCAGGCTCTGCGCGCTCGCAGGGCACAGCAAAGTCGGAATAATTTAAAGAAGTTGGTTCTCACATTTCATATTAAAATATTTTATATTAATCATTCAAACTTCATTTTTTTTTATACAATGAATGCATACCTCGCCGGGGAGGGGACGTCTCACTGCTGCGGGGTGCGGGGAGGTGGTGGCGCGATCCCAGATGTCCCCGCCCCGGCCGTGGGCACCTTCGGGAAGGCTCTGCCTGGCTGTGGCCGTCCGCCCGCCCCACTCCGCCTGAAGCGGCCTTCCAGGCCGGAGCCCCCGCCGGACCGGCCCTCGCATGCCACCGCGTCCCGGCGCCCGCGCCTAGGCCGCCGGCATGTCGGCCTTGCTCAAGGCGATGGCCAGCTCCAGGTCCTCCTGCTCCTGCCGCCGCAGCCGCGCCAGCCGCTCCTGCTCCGCCTTCTCGCTCTCCCGCTTGGCCCATGCCAGCTGCTGTTCCTCATTGCCAAACTGCAAAGGGGAAAAACGGAGCGTGGGTTACGTGGGCCCCGCTGCGGCGGCGGCGACCTGGGGCTTTGCGGGATGCGGTGGGGAGAGGATTGCATTGCGAGGCAGGGAAGCGGGGATGGCAGGGACGCAGCCGCTGTGTCTGTGTATGGCAAGGGTGTGGGGGGGTAGGACCAGGCAGAGGTTCCGCCCCGCGTGCGGGCAAGCAGCGTTGGGCCTGACCTTGGCTCCACAGCGAAGCCAACGGGGTCCCCAAGTCCTAGGGGACAGGCCAAGGGGGCCGCCAGCCCGTGCGCACACCCAGGGTCGCCAAGCCCCTGACTTGGGCAGACAGAGCTCTGAGACCACCATGTGGACCCAGCCCCCCACCACCCCATTTCTCCACTTTGCAACTTTTTTGGGTCGCTGGGTTTTTAAAACAACCAAGAAAAAACACCCCGTTCCTGAGCTGGGGGGCTCCAAGCCACATGCACGCTCCTCTGGCAGAGGAACAGGCTGGCTCCAGGGCAGACACGTGAGTGCCCTGACCCAGCACACGGCACAGGGGTGCCCACAGAGGGGGGCCAGGTGTGGCACCCTCACCCCACCCGACAGCTGAGGACACTCCGATGCCATGATGCACACCCTCGGGGCGACCAGGACACAAGGTGGACGGCAGCACACGTGCCCGAGAGACCTCCCCCAGAGGCCTTGGCCGTCACAGGGACAGGGCAGGACAGCGTGGGGGCAGTGACGGCCAGCTGCTTCGGAACTAGAGTGGACTCCCAGGGGGCCACGTCAGGTGGGCCCGCAGCTGGCGGGGACTCCCTGGAACCCCGGCCCTGGGGTTTCTGCCCGCCCACTTCTTTTCAACGCCTCCCGGGCAGCAGAGGCAGGACACACACCCGGTGGCACTCCCAGAAGCTGCGCCCAGTGCAGCTGCCGGACATGGCAGCCAGGGCTCGGCCGGGCCTGCAGGGCCTCGGCTCACTGACCTGATTCAAACAGGAACCAGGCCCAAGCCATGGCCCCCTACGGCCCGCCCGGGGTCTCTGCTTCCACTCAGTCCGAGGTCCCCAGGGGACCATGCATCCGACAGGTTCCACGAGCGGGGACTGTGCATGTGTCGCTGGCCGCCAGGCATGGTCACAGGTGGCTGGGCTGCAGTGGTGGCCTGAGGACACTGCACCACCCCAGCAGGTGGCAGGGCAGGCTGGCGGCCCTTCCCTCAGGGGCTGCTCACGGCGCCCACACCAGGCCAGCCATTACTGGCCTCTTAGAAGTCCACGGTTGGTGGGATGTTGCGGGTCCTGGGGATGCAAGTGGCTCAGCCCCTCCCGCCACTTGCTCCCTCGGCCTGGACCCATGTCCTTGTCCCCTCACGCCCCCGGCACGGCTCAGCTGATCCAGTCCTGTGCTGGGAGACAGCCAGCTGCGGAGTGCCCACCGAGGTCCAGGGGGTCCCCAGGGTAGGTGTGCTGGCCCAGGCGCTTCTTTCACACTGACAGCTCTGTCCCTGGAGGGCGCCCAGCCCGGGCCTGGGCTGGTCACCATCAGTACGCATGGACAGCTGCCCCCACCCACCTGGACAGTGTCTGGGACTCAGGCTGCGCACACCGACCTGATCATTTGTATTCATGAAAAAGAACGAGCCTCCAACCTCCCCTGACAGTGCCCTGCAACAAGCAGGCCAAATGGCAGTGTGGAGACTGCTCCCCCAAGTCCTGCGCGGGTGAGGCAACCTCGCGGCACAGCACCCACGTGTGAAGAAGCCCCGAGGCCGGCTCTCCTCTCTCACTGGCATCTGGCAAGCTCCCTGGCACTCCCAGGATGGGGCATTCTGCCTCCGGCAGGTGTCGCTTCTGACTTTCAGAGCTGACGGTCACCACGCGCTATCCTGCCTGGCCGGGCTCCCTCGGAAGGGCAGCTGGTCACCGAGACCAGGGCCCAGATCTCCCTGAGACAGCTGGGCGTCTGGTGGGCTCTGAGCAGCCAGGTGTCCCCACACGGTGCACCTGTAAAGACGGAACTGGGACAAGGACTGGTATCCTATGCAAGAGCTAGTTCGAGTCCCAGCTGCTCCACTTCCTTTCCAGCCTCCTGCCTGTGGCCTGGGAAAGCAGCCGAGGACAGCCCAAGTGCTGCACCCTGCACCTGCGTGGGAGACCCGGGAGGAAGTCCTGGCTTGCGCCAGCTCGGCTCCGGCTGTTGCAGCCACTTGGGGAGAGAACCAGCACATGGAATATCTTTCTCTCTCCCTCCCTTTCTTTCTGTAACTCTAAATAAATATAGATGGAACCAGGGACTTTACAAAACAAACAAAAATAAACTTCCACGGGTGCACAGGGGTAAGTGCCGCAGCAACAGGCACTGGAGTGCTTCAAGGCCCGGCTCCCTGCGCAGCAGGTGCAGGCTGGCCCGGAAGGAGCAGCACGCCTGGCTTGCACCTTGCCCGGCTGTTGTGGGCTGGGCTGGGGGAGTGAGCCAGTGCATGGCAGAGCTTTCTGCTACTCTGCTCTTCTTTCAAATATATGTTTAAAAAAAAAAAAATAGGGCCCTACATGTGGCACACAGGAGACTCTGGGAAGTCAGGGCTGGCGGTGGCTCTCGGGTTGGGGTCCAGCGGGCGGAGCAGGAGGTGAGGACGGCCACGCAGGCTGTGGGATCCCAGTGGTGGCTCTCAGGATCTGGCAGGCAGAGCAGGAGGAGGTGAGGACGGCCACGCAGGCTGTGGGATCCCAGTGGTGGCTCTCGGGGATCCAGCGGGCAGAGCAGGAGGCGAGGACGGCTTTCAGTGGATGAAGCAAGAGGTGAGGACAGCCACGCAGGCTGTGGGATCCCAGTGGTGGCTCTCGGGGATCCAGTGGGTGGAGCAGGAGGCGAGGACAGCCACGCAGGCTGGGGGACCCCAGTGGCTTCTGATGTGACAAGGTGCTTCTCTTGGCCAAAGGCTTTGCTGATTCCTGCTTGCCTGTCCCAGGTCCATGTGGCTATGCCAGGTCAGGCATCGCTGCTGCCAGAGTGGCCGTGCTGGCTCAGGTGTCCCTGCTGCATGTTCCGTGGGCAGATCAAACTGTTCTTCGTGCAGGTAGCTGCTGGGCCTTCCAGCCGCACTCCCTGCCGGGCGGAGCTCCAACACACCTAAGGGGCGTGGGGGCCGGGCTCACGGCGGCACCCTAGCATCACTGCTGCTCTTGGTGGCATCCTGCGTCAGAGTTGGCCGTCTCGGCTGTCTGGATGCGATCAGGAGACGCCAGGGGCCCCCTGAGGGGGAGTGGCGAGAGGAGCGCACGCGTGTGCGGGGTGGGACAGCGGGGGTCCCGCCCGCAGCCTCGGCTGGAGGAAACAAGCCCTGCTCATACAGCGTCCGGACTGTGGGTCTTTTTATTGCAAACACTTTTCCTTACACAAGTGGCAGGGACAGAATAAATAACACGAGTGGCAGGAGGCACGAGGAACGGAGGGACAGGAACCAGCCGGTTGGGGTGGGAGTGGGGAGAGGGGACACGGGGGAGGGAGAGCAAAAACCAAACCATCCCCTCCCCAAGCTGCAAGCGAAGGGCAGGAGGAGGTGGCGCAGGGCGCAGGGATGGGAGTTCAACTTACAGAAGCCAAGTCTGCAAAGGCCGAGGAGGCCGCCTTGGGGGCCTTGGCTGGAGAGGAGGGGACAAAAGGGTCTTTTCCACTAAACGGGTCCCCAAAGCCCTGCTGATTTTGGAAGGGGTCGCCGCTGTCGGCCCCGAGTGGCTGGAACGGGTCGGGGGCCTCGGCAAAGTCTGCAGAGCCGAGCTGGCTTACGGGTGTACTTTTACCTAGAAAGTTCAGGAGAGATGAGAGAGAGAGAGAGAGAGAGAGAGAGAGAGGGGCAGTGGAGGAGGAAAACAAAACAGAAGCACACGTTACTCGCCACGAGCAGAGAGCAGCGGAGCCCCTGGGTGGGGTGTGGCCGGCGGGAAGACACACGCACCCCCGGGTGATGACAGCACACCCACGCACACCCACGCACATGGGAGCCGCGGGGAAACACGGAGCACACGGGGAGACGAGGGGGACCAGGCAGGGAGGACACGGCACACTACCAACCCAAGGACACTGCAGCGCCAGCGAGCCAGTCACGCCGCACCTGCCAGCCGTGTCCACAGCAAACACAGCATTTCAAGGCCAACCACGCAGCGCAATGCACAAACGCTCCGCTCCCTTCCCTAACCCGGCAGTGGCAGACCCTCTGCCAACCTCCATTTCGCTTCTCCCCGTTGGGTGCGCGCAGGGAGGCGGTGACACCAAGGCGCAGGGGTCCCTGTGAGGCACAGCTTGACAGAAGGCCAGAGACAGGGGGACCTACAGGGGTGGGGTTGGCTGGGGAGGTCTGCCAAGTGATGGAACATTCCACCAGGGACTGGGATGGACCTGCTTAGCGACGGGGAGACTGTGGGTCAGTCTGAGGGCAGGGTGGCCAGCACCGTCACGGCGCCCACCTGTGGGCCAGGCCACCTCTTCAGGCCCGGCTGACCCTGGACCTCAGCCTTGACCTGTACCCACATCCCAGCCACGTGCCTGAGGGCCTTGGGTGTCCCCACAGACCCCAGGGAACGACGCAGCCTGAGCCTGCCCTGAGCTCCTCATTGGGGAGTGCAAAGCCAGGCAATACCCCATGGGCACAATGCTCCCCCAGGCGCCTCCACCTCCACCCCAGAGGCTCCAGTGAGCCCATCACAGCCCCTGGCCAATACTGTGCAGCCCTCAGTGCCAACATGACCTTGCCGCACTGGGCCACCTGTCCTGGCCGTCCTGGCCACACCCAGCTGTCAGACCAGTACAGACTCAGTAGGGTACACTACTGCACCCCACTTCCCTCCGGCTGCGAAGAACCCAGAGTTTTGCACGGCCCTCATCTTGCGGTCCCAGGCCCTCGTGGCATCCCTTGCCCTAGCAGCGCCCCCTGCCCTGGCGGCACCCCCTGCCCTAGTGGCACCCCTGCCCTGGCGGCGCCCCCTGCCCTGGCGGCGCCCCCTGCCCTGGTGGCACCCCCTGCCCTAGTGGCACCCCTGCCCTAGCGGCACCCCTGCCCTGGCAGCGCCCCGTGAGGAGCCGGCCCCCAGCCCATCTTGCCGGCTCCCCTGGGCTGTTTCCCAGGGCGGAGGGCTGTGGTGCGGAGTAGTCACGGAGGGTGAGGGGGCATCCTCCTAGGAGGGGATAATGAGGATGCTGAGGACACAGCGGGGGCAGTCAGGGATGAGGCGACCAGGGCCCACCCCTGCCGGGCTGCCTGCTCCCCACAGCCTCTGGGGTAGCCTCTGCCCTAGCTCCAGCTTGCTGGCAGCCAGGCTGACAGAAGGTCAGCCCCTGTCCCTGGTGCTGGCCGACCCGAGCGGTGCCCCAGCGCTCTGCACTGGGGGACACACACACACAGAGTGGGGAGCTCTCTCGCGGGGCAGAACAAGACCCACAGGTGCCTGTATGGACTGCTGCCTCACGGAACAGTGCAAAGACGGGGCCCCCGAGGCAAGCCTGCAGGAGCAGGCAGGGGAGGGCACAGACTGGGGCGCCAGCGGCATGGCGGGCTGGCCCTTGGCCCCATCGCACATCTGGGCCATCTGGGTCTACACCCCCTGGCTCACGGGGCCTTACTGCAGGAACCCGGCCCTGCCGCCCCAACACGACGCTGGGAAATTGCGACTGTTAGCACGAAACCGGGGCACGGCACTGCTCCTCTTGTTTTCAGAGGAAAAAAAAAAAAAAAACAACAAACGGCTCTTTCTCGGTTGTCTTCACTTGCAAAAGTGCTTGGTGCGCAGGACGGCGGGAACCCCTGCCTTGCGCCCGGGCTGGCAGGGCTGGCAAAGGGAAGCTGGGGGGGGGGGGCGGGAGTGCCCTGGCACCCCCCAGCTTCCCACTCCTCACACCGCTTATTTTTAGCTGTGTTTTCTTGAACATTCTGGGTCTAGTTCCTGCTTTTATGTAACCGCTTCTGCTAGCTCCTTGCTTGGCTCTGATTTTCTGAGGGCGGCTTATCTCGAACGTGACAAACTTGACTTAGTCCTCTGCCTTTGGGTCTCCGGAGCTAACGCAGCCCAGGAGGCAAGCCGTGCTGGGGGTGACGTGTGTCCCCCTCCCCCCGCCCCAGCCCAGGGCTGGCAGGGATGCCAGCCAGGGGACGTCTTTGCTGGGGCGTGGCCCAGAAGCACAGTGGCCCCCGGGATCATTCCCAAATACCTGTGCGGATAAAGACAGGGAACTTGGGGGGCTCCCCGGGAGGGGGTGCGGTGCGGGCCCCCCCCTGACAAGCAGGACAGGAATATAGGCTTGAAGGCAAAATAGGCCTTATTTTCAAACCACAGAAGTTTCAACAGTTACCCAAGCGGTGTACCGAAACCACACACAAGACTGACTTTAGCAAAACACAGTAAGAACCGAATGGTTTACCACAGCGTGCTGTTTTTTTTTTTAAAGAAAAGAAAAGAAGAAAAAGAAAGAAAGAAGAGATGGGCTTGGTGGCTGGCCCCACCCTAGCAGTGCCCGCGCCCTCTCCTGCCAGCAGCGCTGCGGCTGGCCAGCCAGCGGGACTCGGCAGGCCACATGGCCCGTGCTGCTTTTCAGGAAACTGCGTAAAGGGCGCCCAGCAAGTCGGGATACAGAAAAACAAAAACAAAAGCAGAACAAAACCCACTGGAATAGAATTTAAAATAAGAGAAACAAAGCAAAGACTGGCAGGGCCCCAGCAGGCAGCAGCCATGGCCAGCACCGGGCAGGGCGGCGGGGGACAGCCAGCACCGGACAGTGGGCACGGCCAGCACCGGGCAGGGCAGCGGGGGACAGCCAGCACCAGACAGTGGGCATGGCCAGCACCAGGCAGGGCGGCGGGGGACAGCTAGCACTGGGCGGGGGGGAGGAGGCCATTGCCAGTGCTGGGCAGGGGGCACCATGGCCAGTATGGAGTTGGGGGAGGCCCACGGGCAGCACAGGGCGGGGTCATGGCTGCGGGAGCCACTGTGGCCATAGCCAGCATGGGGGTGCGGTCACGCCGGCCACGGTCAGCACTGGGGTGGGGGGAGGCCATGGCCACGGCCAGCATTGGCAGCCCAGGGCAATGGGGCGGTGGGGTAATTCTCTCCCTGGGAGTCCTTCACAGGGGAGGGGTAAGGTTTGCGGGCGATGCAGGGTCCCCGTAAGAACACCTGATTCCCACCCCACAAAGGGGGCAGGTGTGTACGTGAGCGCATTGGCCTTTTCCCTCCTTGCCTCCAATTCCTTGGCTGGAAACAAAACACACACCCCGAGGTTTGTGGTCACGGCAGCTGCCCCACCTCAGCCATGGGCCCGAGCCCCACGGCACACCGTGCAGGGTCCTGCCATCGGCCAGCCTCCACTACACCCATGTGACTGCCGGGCTAATTCGAGCCACACCTCATGCGGGGCTGAGATGCTGGCAAGGTGTGTTTGTAGGACTGTGTCCCCTGCTTCCCTACCCCATGAGCAAAAACACTTTGCAACAGGAGGGCTGCAGAACAAAAAACCAAATACAGAACGGGTTCTGTCTGGAGCCCGGCTCTGTCACCACATGTCGCTGCCTGGGGGCGGGCACATCCCAGCCTTGCCTGCCCACTCCCAGCGGCTGATGGACGGGCAGGCAAGGGGGCCTGCGGCAGCCCTGCCCGTGCCCCTCCTGTACATGTGCTGAGGCAAGCCCGCCAGATCAAAGCTGTGCCAGGCAGCCCGGCCCTGTGAGATAAGAATCTGAGGTCCCCGCAATCGCAACGTGGAGATTTTCCACTAAAAATATTTACCAGATTTCGAGAACAATCGGCTGAACGCATTGAAGGGGGACAGGATGAGGTTTGGCGCTGAGCTGTTGAGAAGCCCTCAGCCAACACCATCACCCACCTGCCGGCAGTGCGCCCCGCCCCCCGCCAGGGCTGTGCAAGGGTGGGCAGGGGCCATGATCACCTCCCGGGGCCCGGCAACCCAGACATGGGGAGGACGGGGAGTGTGCAACACAAGGGGCTCCTGGGCCAGGCTCCCTGCACGATGTGGAAATGGGTTCGCAGACTGCGAGTCAGGCTGTGCAGCGAACAGTAAAGACGGACTGTAATGGGCTCCGGGGACCCTGTGCGCCTCAAGGGATTCTTCAGGGGTGGCACTGTCCACAGCAGCTGGGCAGGACTTCAGGGAGCCAGCCACGGCTCCTCCTAGCAGCAGCACGATGCCACAAGGGCACCTCTGCAGAGCAGCGGGCACTGGATCCGCACACAGCCGACTTGCACAGAAGGGGGTGCTGCTGGGGGTGGGGCTGAGTCCTATGGGCAGGGGCCAAGAGGAGGGGCACTTACCCAGGTCTCTCAAAGGGGACAGAGGGGAGGGCCAGTGCATTGGCTCAACTGGCTAATCCTCCACCTGCACGTGCCAGCATCCCATACGGGCGCTGGTTCTGATCCCAGCTGCTCCACTTTCCATCCAGCTCCCTGCCTGTGGCCTGGGAAAGCAGTGGAGGACGGCCCACAGCCTTGGGACCCTGCACCCGCGTGGGAGACCTGGGAGAGGCTCCTGGCTTTGGATTGACTCAGCTCCGGCTGTTGGGGCCACATGGGGAGTGAACCAATAGATGGAAGATATTTGTGCCTCTCTGTGTAAATCTGCCTTTCCAGTAAAAATTAATATACCTTTCATAAAAAGCAGGGGACAGAAGGAAGCTGACAGGTAGGGCGCCCCACGGGGGGCAGGTGCAGCAGCCTGCATCCCTCCCCACGAGGCTCTTCCTGGCCCCTCATTTCTCTGCAGGTGGGGAGCTGAGGCCTTGGGGAGACCAGGAGGTGGC